ACACATTCGTATTAGTATTATTATGTGAGCAAATGTCATCAACTTCTTCTTTAAAGTTATGTTGGACCTCAGCTATTTTTGTTTTTACTTAAACGAAAATGGACAAATATTAGTATTATTCTCCGTGTGAGTATTAGACTTATCTGTGTGATATGCATTATTAAATCAGATATTTAAATATTATCGGCTTTAATTATGTGGCAGTTCTTTCAAAAACGTTTTCTTACATTCACAAATACAAGGTGAAGCTAATGTTTTTATTTTGGATAAAAAGGTTAATATTATTAAAGGAAAAAAATTACTAACATTGCAATGTTAAAGCATTTGCATAAAACAAAGGAAAACGAAGGCAGAAAAATGATCATCTTGAGATACGTTTTAAAAAAAAAAAAAAATAACAGAGCAAAAAGAGTTACCTATCTTGGCGTTAAGTTTCAATGCTTATCAAGTGATAAGTAATTTGAACCGTTCAAATTTTTAATCTAAAAGGGTCTAGATTTACCAGTTTAATTTTATGTTTATTAAGATAAAAAATATAAAATTTTAATAAATTTATTTTATCATCAATCTGAACAATACAGATTTTATTTGAATGATCTAATTTAATATTAATTTTTTTAAAAAAATTATAAGTTAACTATTTAGATGTACTTTAGATTTAGTATGTCTAGAGTGCATTTGTATAATCAATTTATAAAAATTTTGAAAAATTTAATACTAAATTGGATCATTTAGATTAAATCTATATTGTTCATATTGATATTAAACTAGATTTATTAAAATTTTATAATTTTTTATAATAAACATAAAATAAAAAAAATCAATAAATCTAAACAATTCAGATGCTTCTCAAGTGATGGGCACAAAAACCGAACCCCTTGTCTTGTGGACGCCTTGCACCAAAGGTTGATGAAGATGATGCTTTGAAGGTAGACAGTGAAATAGCCTCCTTCGAAAGCATTGAATTTGTATGTTAACTGTCTTGCCCTGATTGAAATTCATATGTAAGTTCTTCGATTCAAGAGAGGACAATTCGAATACATAGAAGATTAAAACAAGAAGCATCAGTATTTCTTGGACGTCACGGTTTACAGCAGTGTTGATGATCATTATTCACAAAGACCATGACAAGAAAGAAATGCAAACCTTAAGTTTTGAATTTCTTCATTCTAACATTCCATTTGACATGAGCATCTTGCGTTTGAGTTCTATTTGTTGGAATAAGCAAGTGGATTTAAAGTCTGAGTTGTGCCAATGATAGTTTGTAAGAATTATTCCGCCATATTAAATTGTTTGCATGGCAACTTCTCAAAATTAAATAAACTCATTTTGTAAGTTAAGTAAGGCCACAAAATAATAAAAATTAACAAAATATATTCAAGCAACACAATATATAAGAAGAGCTTAAAAACTATAGAGCTTGGCCCCTAATACACTGCACTCCTTAAACTATATACAGGTACAATCAAAAGTTCCCCTTAATGAACCATCCAACATTGATTTTAAAATAATAATAAAAATTAAGTCTCGTAACTTGAGCAGCTTTGAACATTAGAGAAGTTTATAAATATTAAACCTTTTAATGTGATTCAATCAAATAAAAGGTTATTAAAACCCCTTTTAAAACTGTAACTTCAAGTTGGTAAATATAAGAATTAAGTAGGAGGTATAAAAATCAATAATATTAAATTAAAACAATTTTTTTTAAACACCTATAAATATTTTATAATATCAATTACTATTCAATATTGACGTTGAAGATGATGATGCAAGAGAAGGTGATTTCTCAACATTATGAATCCGTGACCACCGACAAACATCCATGAGATAAAAACTTAAAAGTGGTCGAATTCATTGATTATTTCTCATGACTTTGTATGACAAAAAGCTAGATTCTCTTTCTCCAAGTGAGATTGAGGAAAATAATAATTAATTCCTTCTAGCTGCTATAGTATAAACCATTGTCATGTAACTCCAAAAAGGTAGCGATTATCTAATTAGATAGGGTCGAAGCTAATGTTGAGCTATGAGGGAGGTTGAGAATTTTTTTTTTTTTTGGGGAGGGGGGATCGGAAATATAAAATGTTTGTATAATACACACTAGAACCAATATCTTAAGTAGGGAGAACGACAGAGATCTCAAAATGATTAATAATTCAATCTAAATTCCAACTATCAAACTTTAAAATTTTTTAAGTTTGATTCTTAATTTTATAATTTTATTATGATAAATTTATAGCTTATTTTTTAAATTTTAATATAATTAATAAATAAATAAATTTATTTTTTATTAAAATTTAAAATACAAGTTATAAATCTGTCACAATAAAATTATAAAATTGAAAACTAAGTTTGTAAATATAGAGTTTGATACTCAAAATTGACGCTGAATTAATTAATCTTTTAAAATTTATATGTCATTTTCCTGTCATTTTCCAATATACTTAAGCTATTAATAAAGTTGAGAATTTTGTAGGGATAATAATAATAAAATTATTTTAAATTATATAAATGACAATTTAATTTCTTCAAATGTCATAATTTCAATAAAATTTTTATATTTTTTATTATTAATAAATTTATATAAATAATTAAATTGTCTTTATTGAAAATAAAATGATTCACAAGTTTTGTTTAAATAATTATAACTTTTCTTCTTTTATTCACTACAAATTACAATTTCACATATTAAATTTTTGATTTGCTATTATATTATTGTGAATATAAAAAAATTGTGATTATTTAAACAAAACTTGTAAATTATTTTATTTTTAATAAAGATAATTTAACCATTCATATAAATTTATTAATAATACAAAATTCTTAAAAATTTTAATAAAATTTTGATATTTTAAAGAATTAAATTATTATTTATATGTGTATTCTAAATTTCTAACGACCCTACATGTAACAATCCCGAGCCGAACTCCAGCTAACTTTTTGAGCTTTTCTGGCTGGCCTGCAGTCCGAATTATTTCTTCTAATTTTTTTATTATTTAAATATTAATTTATTTATTTTTCAGGTAATAACAAGCATTATCTTGTTCTTTCCATCCAACCAACTTCAAATTCGCTTCGTTAATCATCTTTCATTTCCTCTCCATCGCACAAAAAGAATAAATGAATTGAGCTCCTTTGAACTAATTCAGATCGGCTCAAATTCCCACTTTTTTTTTTTAAATAATGATAGAAAGGCTAGCTGAACCAAGAAATCCATTTTTCGGATGATTTCGTCCGTAAAGAAAAACAAAGAAAGAAAAATAGATGTCAAGCCATTAAGTGGCTATATGTATCAATCAATAATTATTTATTTGGGCATTAGTTACATCATTGTTACTTGGTAAGGTCGTCAAAATCAGGTTAATTCAAATAATTGAGCAGTAATTCAATTGTTAGTGGTTATTAAATTGTGATTAACTTAATCACAAGGACTAATGTTGCCTTTAGATATATAAAGATTTAGATTTAAATTTGAATCAAACTCTTTACTTGAATATATAAATTTTAAATTTATATTTTATTATAATTTCATAATAATTTCAAATTTTTCAAAGTTATAATAATTTGAAATTTCAACTACCCCAATCATTTGGTTTTCTCCATGTTTCTACTATCAGTGTCTCTATTAATTTCACTTAACCTTTCATCTCTCATTTTTATCTCTCAATGATTGAAGAGTAAAGGTAAGTTTGTTATTTTAAATCTCTCATTTAAATCTTAGTTATTCTCTTAAATATTTTTATACTATCCAAATAAAAAAATTTATTAATTTTAAATGTGAGATTTTAAATATAAGATTTTAAATTCATTAATCTTGACACTACTTAATTTAATTGACTAAATTTTATTCCCTCTAATAAAAAAATGTAAGAGACATTTTGAAGGAACGATGTTAAAAAAAATATAAAATATTTTTTATCTTTTAATGTATAATTATTATTTTTTTAAATTAACTCTATTGAATAAATTACTTTATTTTTATTTAAAATAAAAATACTCTATTAAATAGAAGTAAATATATAAAGATATAATTAGTTTAAAATTAAGTAATTATTTTATTAGAAGATAAGGTTTGATTCAAAATGACTTACATTTATCTGCAAAGAAGAATGACATTGAAGGGTCTAAAAAAAATTATTACAATAAAAGTTTATTAATATTGCGTCAGATATTGTATTATAAAAAGACGGATATGTCTTAGGTTGTATTTTTTATTAGGGCTTCTTCAAAAATTTAATAAATTAAGGTTCATTTTTTGATTGCAATATATTCATATTTTTACAATACAAGATCTGATGTAAAATTGATAAAGTTTTATTGTAATAATCATGGTATTGAAAACCGGACCGGACCGGCCGGGTCAACCCGGAAACCGGTGAACCGGTCCCCTGTCCGGTCTGGGTTTGCACTTAACCCGGTGAGGAAGTGAACCGGTGTAACCCGGTCAACCCGGGTTCAACCCGGTATAACCCGGATAACCCGGTGGGTTGACTGGGTTAACCGGGTTAATATTTTTTCAGACTTTTACCCCAAAACGACGTCGTTTTTGATTTTTTTTTTCATTTTTAATTTTTCAGAGCTCTGAGTTCGGAAAAAAATAACAAAAAAAAAGTAAAATTGAAGTCAAAAAATAAAAAATTAGAGATAGAGCATGCTAAGTCCAAAAATATAGCATTTTATTATTGTTAGACTTTTGAGTGGTTGGATTTGGTTGAATGTTTTTATAATTAATGTCTTTTTATTTAAATTGTATTATTTTAATCATGACCGGTTTGCCACCGGTTCAACCCCCGGTTCAACCCTGATTGAACCACTAACCCGTGACCCAGTGCCATGACCGGTTTAATGACCGGTCCGGTTTTACGTACCTTGGTAATAATTTTTCGTTTTAGGGCCCTCATTGTCATTCTTCCCACAAACAACACCTTGTCTTTTTCCTACTTACACCTCCAGGGCGACTGGGCCATATTTACTTCTTAGTTCCATCATCGTTATTTTGCCTTCGATTCTCTTCAATCCATTCCATAAATATTTTTCTCCTTTTCCTTTTTTATCTTTCTTCTTCAATAAATCTAGCTGTGCCTTCATCCGCCTACAGCCGCCATCAATCAGTATCCCAAGCTAGATCCTTTTCTCACGCAGGTCAAATCTACCTTCTTCAAGTCTCTCTTCAATTATTTTCACCACATTTTTTCATATTTCTCCGATTCGGACACCGTTCTTCGGAAGGTTCCGGTAATTTGAACTTCATTACAGGTTTCAGTTATTGCATTGAACTCAACATGACTGCTCTGCTAGATTCTGGTTCATAACAATTGAGTTTATAGAGTGTTCTTTGTTAATTTTGGGAATCACTTTACATCTATGGGATTTCTGGGTTCTGGCAAGCCGTTTGGTAATGTCTCAAGACAGTTCAGACCCTTCTTCGGCTTGCTGCTCAAGATCGGATCATTTGGATTCGGCTTCAGCTGAACTCAAGCTTTACCGAGCCTTCATTTTCTCTGTACCCATCTTCTTCACTTTCATCCTCCTCTTTCTGTTCTACGTGTTTTACCTTCGACCTCGAAGGGTTGATTGGTCGTCTCTTAGGATGAGAGCTTTTGCGGCTGCGGAGGATAATGGCGGTAACTCCAGGGTAAGATCATATTGTTGGATATTTCTAGTTTCAATAGTTTAGGAAAACTTTTGAGTAAGGAAAATGAAAACTAGTTTGCACGTGCATGTTTGATGTTGACTATTATCTTTTTTTATTATTGATTTTGCAGCCTGAATTGGGCTTGAAGAAAGAGCTGAGAGAGATGCTACCGATTATCGTATACAAAGAAAGCTTCTCGGTTAAGGATACACAGTGAGTTAGATGGCCTCTTCAACTTTTGTGGTGTCTATTATTATTTATTTTTTTTTCCCTGTCTCTATATTTATATATCTGTTTCTCTTTTGCACTTCTTTATAATTATCAAATTAAGCAGTTTTTGGAAATGAAAATTCTTGCATAGACTTGGTCTTCTAATTTTTGATGGACTACAGCCTAGGAAAAATCACCAAATGCACATATAAAAGTGAGATCCACAAAAAACTAACATATTACATGGTTATTTTCATTGTTTTAACCTATTGGAAATGTACGTCTGTCTTTTAATGCAGCAGATGCTGATCAAAACCAACATTCTTAATATGAAAAAGACTTCCATAAAGAGTCAATGTTCCACACTGGAAAAAACACTGGAGGAATTATGATACATAGTCAATATTCAGCGCATGAAAAGTGACTGCAGCTATGATGCACAGATTTGGGTGTGGTTTTTGAGTTTGAAAATTGAAACAACATGTTTAGGGTATATGGCAATTTTTGAAAAATCTAGGGTAGAGATACATCAGTCTATTATTAATTAAAAACTAAAATCGCAGATATTAGTTTTTATAAGCTAACAATAATATTGAAGATTTTAGTATTAATTGAGCTTTAAATATGTCCTGGTTAAAGAAAAAGTCCAAAAAGAATACTCATGGAAGTCGTTTAATGAGACCTCTTGGTTAATAATATTCCCAAAAGTTTGGTTGATGATAGAGTATCATGACTTTGTGCAATCCATCTAGCCGACACCATCTAGTGAGATATGGCTTGTTGTTGTTGTTGTGTTTTGTTCTAGTTAAATCCTTTGTTTAGGTCATTTCATTATATTTCAATGCATTTTAAGAGCATTTTTTTTTTATCATTGTCATATAGCATTGCAGTTTAAAGCAGTTTAAAACCAATTTTTTTTTTTTTTTTTGGATTCTGGAATGCTTTGATGCAGGTTAGAAAGGTTTTCACCTGTTTCTGACCTGTAACAGTTTGGCATTGCCTAAAATGTGTGGGGGGGAAAATTTTGCAAGAGGGGTAACACAAACCAGGCATATGGTATGCCTTATGTTGATATTTTTCTGATATGAATAAGCTAATAAAAGCAAGTATCCTTGCATTTTTAGAGTCAATAATGGAGCACGTGATACCTGCTGACTTTTTTTCCCTTTCACTGCACAACGATAATTTTATATGACAAAATTGGTTCAGAAACAATATTCTCTAAAGCTTCTTCTGAGTAACTTTATATACTAGAAAACTTTGTGGATGGATATCCTCAACCTATTTGATAAGAACTTGAATGACTTTCTTCGTTTATCTTTGAGGTTTAGACTGCGTATTGGAGGAAGCTTAGTTATTGTGGAACATCAGAGTGACAAGTTGATTTGAATGCAGTGAGCATGACATAATCCTCTTGGATAAAATTTCTGTGAAAGCAAATGTGTCCATGATGGAAATCTCTGCTCACTAAGTTGATCATTGTGTTTTCTACTCTTAGGAACCCCAGTAACATGACTGAATTTGTGCGTTCCTTCCCAACAATTTTAGGTCAAAATATTCCAACATTTTATGGTATTTGTCCTATTAAAAAAATGCTTCAAGGTATATGAAATTGATATTAGAATTATCAACCTCAGCTCTGACTAGACTTCTGCTTTTCTTTGACGTCATCACACAATAAACCCTTTTGATAACATAATGCATGTTTATGCTGGATGAATTTAACCTGTTCCAATATGAAGTCCTGATAGTTGGTTTGTTGAAAACTCCCCAGGTCGATTCTATTTTGGGCCAAAAAATATATTTATATTTAGTATTTCATAATGGTTGCAAAAGTACTTGCTCTGGTGATAATCAATATAATTTCCTATCCTCTGCATTTGGCCCTTAGATGAATAAGGACTGCAATGGAGCTCCAATAAGGGGAACTTGGAAGTTAGAATTGGAGTTCAGAAGCTTCCTTTCTCTTCTGTCTCTGTTTATCCAAAATTGGAATCAAATTTTGCTGCAACTTGTTGAAAGCCACCAAACCTTTGAAGCATCTTCACTGTGAAAGGGGAATTTATTTGTTCTTGAACTATTCCCAACACAGATTAATTCCAGCAAATGGAAGGTTAATTTTGAAACCAATTTCTATTTGAGAAGGCAGAAATAGATTTAATTCTGTTTAGGTCCAAAATCATGCTGAAACTGGAATTTTGGAGCTAATATCACAGCACATTAGTCAATTTCAGAACCAGAAGACCAACAATACTCTAGGAAGGTTATTTTTTTAAAAAAAGGAAAACTCTGGGAAGGTGAAAAAAGAAAAGAAAAGAAAAGAAAAGAACACAACTGTACTTAATGGGTCTTAATTTTACCCCATCTTTCAGCGGCATTCAATTATCTTATAAGTTAAACATCCATTCAGACCATTTTTCCTATTGTGAATGCTCACCAATGATGAATTGCATTTATTTCTTTTCTATCCAAAGCCATATAAACTTAATTTGTGTTCTGGTGAAACTTTATTCTTCAGATTGATTTTTGGATCCATTCATCCAAACTGCCAAGCATAAAACTTATACCTCGAACTTCAGCTTACTTTAATTTCATTCCTCTTCTAGTTTTAGAATTTAGAAAAAAATTGAAGTCAAACTAAAGTGATAAGCCACTGATCTGTTGGCATCCAGATATAAATAATGAAGCCACTGGTCTGCTTTAATTTCCTTTGTCTTCCATTCACTTGCTCTTTCTCAGACACAGTTTGGGTAAAAATCTTTGTGCTATCTGCAATGAAATTTTTCCTTTAAATTTTCATTCACAACCGAATTAATCTATGGATGCTCACTAGTGGTTGACATATTGTAGCCATGATCGGAAATCAACTTTTTATGCTTTGTCAACACTCGGTAACTAATGCAAAATTGAGGAGAATATAAGCTGCTTTGATAACAGCATCATCCGCGGGTAATATCAAAATGAACACAAGTTTGACTGACTAAGCTTCTATATATTCTCAAGTAAGAGAGGGGATGAGAAAGACACCTGATCTCAAACTTAGTGTTGTGGAGAGAATTTTAACAACACATTCCATGTTACTGCTTATGGACTTTGCAGTTTGCTAACCTTTTCTTGGAATCATTAGATGATGTTTATATGTCTTATAAAATTAATATCTTGACCTTAGCCTTCTGGCTTGATGATCTTGTACCATCTCTCATGGTGTCGGATTTACCCCTTACCTCATAAGATGTATAAAAAAAAAATGTTATCTCAAGAATATTCGATCATAGAACATTACAATAAAGAGATTTAACTTGGTAATAAAGAGAAGCTCATGTTCTTCTCAAGTTTAGGGGAATAAGAATCAAGACCTGCATTATCGTTCCTCACTGACGAGTTATTTTGTGGCAGATGCTCAGTTTGCCTTTTGGACTACCAACCAGAGGATAAGCTTCAACAGATACCTGCATGCGGCCATACATTTCACATGAGCTGCATTGATCTTTGGCTCACTAACCACAGCACCTGCCCTCTATGCCGCTTGTCTCTTCTAGCTTCTGCTAAATCTTCAACTGAGACATCTAATTTACAGGTAGACGTTGGTAATTATTATCATTTTGGAGAGATGCATATCTAGAGTTCTGTGTATGACCCTTCGGACACATGCATTGGTTTCATCATGAATTAGCTGATAATCATTTAATCATGGCGCAATTGCAAGCATCTAACTGCAGGGTCACGCATTTGTCTTAAAAAAAAAAAAAAAACTCCAGTGTCACGTGTATTTAATGCGTTTTTAAACCCTTTAGATACACATGTTCATCATTTTTATACACTCAAATACATATTTATCCAAAGCTAAGAGTAAATTTATAGATAGTGTGTTTATGAATGTGATGCAGCAGGGAAGGGAAAAAGAAGATAAGAGAAAGGGTGTAGAGACAGAAGATGATAGATACAGAAGGGAGAAATTTATAGGGAAGCAAACCAATATCAATTATTATTCATTCAAAAAGACGTACAAAGTAAATACATTAAGGCATTATTTATAGGCCTTAACCTAATTCTGGAAATGAAAATATTAAAAGCAAATATTCTATAAATCCTAATAATTAAATCCAAATATTCTAAAATAATTTAAAAGATAACCTAGTAATATAAGAGATTACATTTATCCAAATCAAATGCTAAGATCATTCTAATAAACTAAAAATTGTAAATCTAATTAATTTTGTGTCCCATCAAAATGTCAACATCACGTTACAGGATGAGGCAAGGTGTTGGCAGTTAAAAACTTTCTCAGTCTTTTTTATCTGAAACCAGTAAGTTGTACCTGGCTATCGCACAGATGAATGATTATAATACAGTAATGACAATTAAATCATTTTTGCAGAGGCCGTCTGGCAATGAAGAAACACCAACTGCTCAATTCTCTGAATCAAGATCTACAACGCATCCAGATAATAGTGTAGCTGTGTAGCCCAAAATTGCTCTAGAGATAATTCAAGCAGTGCCCACTGCATTGATGTTGAAAGAGGAAATGCTGAAAGCAGTTAGAAGAGGTGTGAAGACATGAGAGGCTTGTTATGGTAATTCTCTGTTTTATTTTATAGCATCTTCGTCTGTCTGTGAAACTGAGTGAAACTAATATATCGTTTATCAATAAAGGTATTTTGAAACTTTTAGATGTGTTCACGGTTACATGAATCTCTATTATTGATCTAATGCTTATATCAGTAGCATTTTTGCTGGGAAAGTAGTTTGTTTAAATAATTTTTGTGATGACTGGTTTTTTTTTCCTTTTTTTTTTATTGGGGGGGGGAGGAGCGTGAGAGAGAGACATTATTTAGGAAACAGACAAAATCTCAAGGGAAGGTGAAGGAGGCAGGTTTCTATAAAGAGAATAAAATTTACATTATTTTATTAATACTTTATTCTGTAAAATGATTTAACACCATGTTATTGTATTAGTAAGGAGAATGCTTTCCTTTGACAGAATACAATGTTGAGGTGAGCATTGCCAATTACATAATTTAAAAACTATTTCAGGTAAGTTTGAATATTGAATAGCTTCTACTTTTTTAAATTTAAGACCTGTAGTGCTGCATACTACGGTTTCCTTAATTTTTTTTCTCTAGGATTTTATTTTTTCAACTTTTCTGTCTACTTAGATCTTTATTCTTGACAAACTACAACTCTAAGCTGACTTTTCCTTACTATTATTGTCCTTACAGAGAAGGACCGTATCACTTTACAATTAGCTACTAATGAAAGATGTATATTTAGCAAATAGTAATAAACTAGTAGTAACTTAAGTTTGTCACCCTTTCATATGTGTCTCCTGCTTGGTCTTTTTCATAAGGCCATGTTAACTACTTTCATTAGATCATGGAAATTAGTAAAAAGTAAATTTTGTGAAGGTCCTATGTTAAGGATCAATAGGTAAGAGTTAAGACCTTGTAAATAGACCGGCAAGAGTAGTTCCATTTTATTGGATGTTTTCAAAGGGACATCAGGTTCCTGTTTGATGTTATATTACTCTCTCTCTCTCTCTCTCTCTCTCACATATCTTACCCTAGAAGACAGAGTTTACTTTAGATGTGCTCATTACTTGTTAGTGATTAGTTTCTTTTTTAGTTTATTTAGTGAATGTATTTTTGGACTTTGTCCGGCTCCCTCTTGGGGAACCTCTTAGGGCAAAACTTTGATATTTCCTTATTGAATTAAGGATTTTAGCCCTTGGCCTGAGTATTCCTGTGAAGATTCATATCAATATTGGTAATGAGAGATATTATATCTTATCAACTGAGCCAACTGTTTTAGGAATCTGAAATCTTTTCGTTCATGATGGCTTTTGTGTTTATCTTTTTATTGGTTGTGGGAGGTTCTTGTGTTGGATTATTCAGCAAAACTTAGCAGGAGAGAATGAACATCTTGGCCAATGGTAACTACTAAAAAGAACAGATCATTTGATGAAGAGGCATATTTCTTGGTGGCGAAAGAAATGCTATGATTACATCTTTGGTTGTATGAAAAAAGTTTTTTTTTTTTTTTTGAAGGAAGGAAACAGTGTAATGTATCTGACTAGAAAATAGGATAGATGCATTATTTATTTTATTTTTAAAAAACATGTTTCTATTTATCAAACTATAAAACGTTTGTTGTCATATAGAATTTCAGTGTTTTATTTGGGAAGAGATATTAAAACCAAGTTCTATTTATAAATACATTAGACCAAATCATAAGAATAAGGATCAAATCTGGCATCTGATAGATATAATATAAAGATCTCAAACCGCTTCTTAAACTATGAGATTTTTCCTCATGTGGATGAGTTGTTTTTTTTTTTCAAAGACTCAACTCGTTTGTTATTATTATTATTATTATTATTATTGTTACTAAAGAAAGTAAACTAGTTCTACTTTGTTCTGGAAATTTTCAATTTGTGTTGGTTTAGTGGAAATCTCCAATCATTAGGAAGGGCCCTTTGTTTGATCAATGCAAATCTGAACTTCCTAATTATCTTGGCTTTGAAGGAAATAAAAATGGGGTCGAGAGAATATTAAAAAAAAATGAATTTTTTATTGTTTTTGAAAGTTTTTTCTCTTACAGTATTTTTTTTAAATATTTTCTTGCCCACCCAAACCAATGCTTGAAACACTAGAGGAGGATAAGGGGGAATGATGAGTAAAGAGCTCATACAATGATTAATATCAAATCAAGATTATTTTTTTTAAAGATTTAAGTAATGAAACATCGGAAAAGGAGTAATGAATTTAGAAATTTTAGTTGTGTGACTTAAATTTTCTGGTAATGTCCTTATTTGTCATTTTTTTATGGATAACTAGTATGTGGCTCGTGCGAGTGGGATGTAAAAAAAATAAAAAAAATTAAATAAATAATAATATTTTTTTGTTTAAAAATGTAAGATATTTTTAATTGAATTTCATCATTTAATAAAATAGTTATTTATTTTTTTATTAATTTTATCTTTTCATATTTATTTTTATTTATCTTATAATAAATATAAAGTCATTATCAATATGGGTATTTTTTTTAAAAAAAAGCAATGATTATATCTCGAAAAATTAAAAATGTTTTACATTTTTAAACATCTAATTTTTAAAAAATATTTTATATTTTTAATGAAGGAAGTAGTTAATAATCATCCATAATATAAGATGTTATTTGGTAAAAATAAATTTTTCAGTGTTAGCTATTGACTTTTACAAAGCATAAGCTAACTTCAAATTGAAATTATAAATATCACAATAATGTTTCTTATTAACTTTCAACTAAAATAGTTTGTGATGCACATGATATTTTAGGTATATTTTTTGTAATTGTAATTATGATACAATTAAGATCAATTAAATTTAAGGCAATCTTTAAAATAAGTTTGAAAATGATAAGCCAAAAATTAATCTTGTATTGATTTAAAAAAATTGAAAATGGTTCAAATTAATTTACACCAAAAATTAATTTCATATTGATTTGTTTTTCACTAAATTTTATGAATGTTTATTATATTTTATTTGTTTAAAAAGAACTTTCTATAAATGAAAAGGAAATGAATAGAAGGAACAAAAGAACATAGTCACCAAAAAATAATTAGAAATGTTCAATATTTACTAATTTAATGCATTCAAGTATTTGTATGTGTTTTATACTAAGTTATTATTTTACTTTTAACATTGGCTTTACTTCTTATGATACATTAGACAATTAAGAGCATGAGAATCAATAATAATATATATATATATATATATCTATATAACTACATACCATGATGAGATATGTCAAATGTTATCTAGAGTCAAATTATACTTGCATAATTTGAAGCATGTAAAATATGTTTCCTTCAAAACTTACATCCTTATCACCTACACATAAAACTTGTTATTAAATGACGTTCAATAGCAAAAATAAAAAGGACATCACCTAATTCCCTCACTTGCTTTGAAAATGAATTAATCACAATAATTCAGTCACAGAAATAAATAAAAGAGAATGATATTGTAACATATTTAATCAAAATGACTTGGTTATGATGAATAAAAGATGGGATATTACTGAACAGAAAAATAGAGCTAACTATCAAGGTTTAAGTGGATCTAGAGCTTTTATTGTAGGACTTTCATTTGGATTATTTTTGCATTGTCACAGCAATCAAGAACAACTCTCCCTAAACCTTTGATCAGACACCAATGAGATGATAATTTGGCAAAGTTTGTAAGAATTTGTGTAAATGTGAGTGAGCACTCTAGAAAAAGGAAAAGAAATGTGAGTACAGAAGTTACAATGAAAAAAGGTTTAAAAATTTTAAGGTTTAACTTGGAATTTAAATTATAGAAAGGTGGGAAAAGTGTAGAAAATATAGTGGGGGGGTGAAGACATGAAGTGGGTTATCAAAAAACTCTTGGGTTGGATTTCAATTTTTTGCTCCTTTAGAATTTTTGCTTTCTTTTCCAAAAAAAAGAATTTCTTATTATTTTTAAATCTTATTTTTTATACAATTAAAAACATGAATTTCATTTATTATTTTTAAATTAAATGTGAAGTTATGAGTGAATTAATGGAAAGTTGAGATAGTAGAAAGATATTTGATGTAAAGTAGTTTTATTTGTTTTAAAAATAAATAAAGTAAAAGATATTGCTTGTGATGCATAATTTTCTTATTCTTATTATTTTTTAATTATAAATTTAGAATTATAAATAAATAAGTTAATAAGAAGTTGGGATAATGTAGAAATATTTAGGGGTGCGGTGGGTAGTTTTATTTATTTTTAAAATGAAAAAAAAAGCTTATTAGAATCAATGATACCCTTAAATGCTGCTTGTGGCACATAATTTCATTATTATTTTTAAATTAGAATCTCGAAAGTGTAAATAAGTAAGTTAATGAAAAGTTAGAATAATTTTTTTCATTAATTTTAAAATTAAAATTTTGAATTTTTTATTATTTGAAATTATGAATATGTAAATGGAAAGTTGAGATAATGGAGGAGAGATATTTGAAGATAAGATAGTTTTATCTATTTTGAACATTAAAATTAAAGAATAAATAAAGTAAAACAGAGTTAGGGACACGTTTAATTATTAAATATTGCTTGTAGTTCTACTTTTTTAAGAAGTTGAGATAATAAGGAGATGTTTGAAGGTAAGGTAATTTTATTTATTTTTAAAAATTAAAAAAATAGAGAAAATAAAATTAGAGACACATGTTTTTATTAGGTGTTGCTTATGGTTATGCATGCTCTTTTAGAAAGTTGAGATAATGAGAAGATATTTGAGAATAAGGTAGTTTTATTTATTTTTTAAAAATAAAAAATTAAAAAAATAAATAAAATATAATATATATGAGACACATGTTATCATTAAATATTGCTTTGGTTTTACTTTTATCTATATATATATATATATATAGATAATATGCCGCAGGAAAAGTTACATGGTAATCTCCCAAATTTGATAAAAAAAAAAAAATTAAACGGGATGCCAAGGTAAGCTATAAAATGAAGCGAGAAAGGTAATTTTTGATGTAATTTAAAAAATATTAACAACTTTTTTTTATAGGGAGAGACAATAAAGTTTAGAAATAAATAAGAAAAAAGATAGAAGTGATGTGAAATGAAATGTTCAGGAAAACTCAGACATCAATTCAAATCTTAGATTCTGGAGTTTAGAGAGATTTAAAAAAAAATCTCACAAATTCTTAGTTTAAAGTTGTGCATTTGTGTCTCTTTATTTATAATCTTAATACATTGTTTTAACTGATCTTGTAATCTTGAACTATATTAATTCTCAAAATACTTAAGCAAACAATACATAAATAAATTTTTTTTGTTATTTGGAAGCACATTATTTTAGTCAATGTCTTAATAATTGTATAACTTTTTAAAAAAATCAAAAAAATATATTTTAAAACATCAATAATAAA